TCAGACTTTTGTGATGAAATCGTGTTTTCAAGGATGATCAATACTGCATTCCTAAACGTTATTCTCCTAACATGGTCTGAGAAAGACTTTGACTCTCCCTAAGTCACATTCACATGTGCTTGTTCCTTAATAATGCAACGCTTACATTAGGTGTACCTATAATGTGTTCATGGAAATCAGTGGAATTATATTAGATACATACTAGTAGCTATCAAATAAGGGTAGAAGAGAGAAATGGTTTAAAGTTGTTTTTATATCATGACAGTGGAGACTTGACTTCATAGTACTCTAGATAATATTTTACACTTGGTATAGGATTTTGCTTTTTTATGCATTCATTTCCCAAGCTGTCACATGCTATCCTTCTCACACTGTATGTGGTATACAAAGCTTTTTCTTGTACAAAATAAAACCTTTTACTATTGAGTTCTTTTTTTTTTTTTCACACCCTTCTATAGGAGTGAGTTCTCACTTTATTTTAGTCTTAATCTCATTTATTTTGGAGGCTCTTTTTGAATTCCTTGCATCATCATAGGCTGTTCCTCAGTTCAAGCACAGTTCACTGATGGGTCTTGAGGTGACTTAAGAGTCCAGTCTTTGAGCCATAGATCCGTCTGCAGAAGTTGCAGGTCTTTCTGCAGGGGAGTGAAGGCTGCAGGCTGGGATTTCTCTCCTTTCCCTTTCTCTGCTCTCTCTTCTCTGCTTCAAAGGCAAAGTGTTTTACCTTGAAAAGGGCTGCTGCTTGTTTGTGGTTGCAGTGCCATTGGATTCAGTTGGCAGTCGGCTTCTCCCAACTCTTGAAGTCAGCATCTGTTTTCTTGAGGTACAACTTAAGTGTGTCCTTGTACCATTTCCTCTGGCCACCACAAGTTCTCAGGCTATCACTAAGCTGGGAGTAGAGCACTTGTTTTCGGAGTTAAGCATATGTAAACAATGTCTGGTCCAGTGAATTTGGTGCTTGAAGATCACCAACTCAGTGCTGATAGTACTGGCTTCAGCATGGATGCTGGCGTTTGTATGGCGGTCTTCCTATTTGATGCAGAGGATTTTCCTGAGGCACCACTGATGATACTTCTTCAGGCTCATGAGATGACAATGGTATGCTATTCATGTTTCACATCCGTAGGGGAGACTGGGTGTTTTCTGGAGATCACAATAAATAAAGACACACCAAAGCATTTTCCGAAAGGAGGCACGTGCACACCAGATCCTATGCTGGATCTCCCCATCAACATTCACTTTGAGAGAGGTGGCTACTGAGGTAGGGGAAGTGCTTGACTACCTCTGGAGTCTTTCCCTCAACAGTAATTTGGGAAAAGGGAGGGCGAGGCACATTCATTGCCTAGGGCAGACAGATGCAGCACTTTTAAGTATTTTCAATGTTGGGAGAGAGAGAGAGACTTAACATTTGGTAGGCTTCTCCGAAGAGGTCCAGCAGAGTCTGGAAGCTTTCCTCATTTGTGCAAGGATGGCACATTTGAAGCGCAAGGATGGTTGTTTTGAGTACTTTGATCTTTGAGTGAAAATGACCCAGGTTGAAAAACCCTCCCTCCATTTGATATTCAGTGTCAGTTCTGGAAGGAAGGCAGTCCTTAATGAGAACTAGGATGATTGTAAAGAAAATGGAGAACAGAGTTGGGACGATGACGTATCTTTGCTTGATCTGAGCTCAGATAACAAATGGATGTCTCTGTTCTACTGCATAGAACAGTCACAGTCATCTGACTGTGAAGAAGCCTCGGGACCTTGATGTACTTCTCAGGAGATCCAAATCTGGCCAGTACTTTCCGCAAGGTTTCCTTTTTGATAGAATCAAAGGTCTTGGTAAGGTCAGTAAAGGCTACAAACAGGTTGTGATGTTATTCCTACCTAACACTTTTCTTGGAGCTGGCAGGCAACAAAGATCATGTCAATTGCTCCACCAGGTAGCCTGAAACCACACTGAGAGTCCAGCAGGACTTCCTCAGCAAGAGGTTCAGGAGGATGCAGGAGAGGATTTTCCCTGCTGTGGAAAGGAGGGGGATAAGTCTGTGTGTGGGAACTATTTTTTCTTGAAGATAGTCACAATGTTGGTATTATTCAAGTCCCCAGAGATCTCTCCATTGTTCCAAATTCAGGGAATACCACATTTATTCAAATACAAGATGACCCTGATTATAAGGCCACCCCCAAATAATTATTCTATATATGTAAAATTTATAAATTTGATATAATTTTCCAGGTATAGAATGTAAGTATTGGAGGTTTGTCTTGAATTTGTCAGCCTCCTGCTACTACAGCAGGGAAAATTAAATCTAGGGCAGGAAGTCCCTTTGCCCTTTTCTTCATCCCAACCTTTCCCCCCTGCAGCCCCTTCCCCTCTCCTTACTGACGGACCCTGCTCTCCCTGAGCACGTGGAAATGAAAAATAAATTTGAAAGAAAACTGATCTTGAAATGAACATAACTGTACCAATTTTTATATAGTACCCATATACTTAGTTCACCTGGAAATTATGCATTTTACCTTTTTGAAACTGCTGCAAGTTTTAGCACAGGTATTCCATAGACACATTTTTAAGCAGCACTTTAGCACCTACTTAGAGAGAATACAAACTATATATATTAGTCCAAATGAAAAGGCTCATGATTTATCATATAGTTCATTGGGCCGGGCCCTAGCAGAGTCCATAGCATTTCAAGCCATGGTGACCACGCAGCTCAGCACTGCTCACAGTGTGTGTGTGCCCCAGATGCCCCCACAAGGGTACCTAATACTATCCATGTGTTAATTAGCCCCCCACTCATGACTGGAGCTGGGTGTTTTGGTCATTAGTCCTAAGCTTCTCCAAAAACTTATAGCCTGGTCCAGCTTCACCTCATGGAGGGTAGGGCCACATTAATCATGTGACAGGCTGAGAGGGGGCAACAGAGAGATTCTGGCTGAATTGTTTGGGGCCCCCTTTGGTGACGTTTAAGGCTATTGAAGAAAATAATTGAAAATTGGAAAGAAAAGCATAGCTCAGCTGTGGGAGTGAAGAAGTAGTCACAACACACTCAGTGTATTAGCCTACCATCACTTGAAAAAAAGTCAATGCTGAGGGGAACTGCACACAATGTGCACCATCATATTTCTTATTCAGATGGGTTACACTAACGTACCTTTGTTTGCGCCCATATGTGCCATGTGTTTTATAGTCATGCTCAGTGTTTACTCTATTTGATCAGTTTCATAGTTGGTTTTTATTACTGAGCAAATGCTGTTTTTAGCAGTAGGTCAAAGATAGGCAATGTATTTAATGTGGTTTTCTTATATGTGAATGTAAGATGAGGGGCATTTTGTCCTACATTGATTGGGAAGGGGAAACTTTATCTTATATTCAAGTAAATATGGTAAATTAATTGAATCTCAGAACCAGCTCCTTGCCACCGGCCTTGTATATTTCAGCAGGTATGCCACCCGGCCCAGCAGCCTTATTGTTCTTGGTTTCCTTGACGGCACACCAGACTTCTAGGATAAGAGGGTTGGCGAAGGACCTCCTTTCAGGGTGTTGGAAGATGGATTCATTGGTGGTATCTACCCCAGTTGACTCAAAGTTCAGGAGTGCTTCACAGTGCTCTTTTCATTTAGCTCGGATACCTCCTTGACTCTGTTATTCTTAGAGCTCTTGATGGAATGGATGTCCGTATCATGTTAGCTTTGCAAGGAAGACTGCTGGAGATCACCATCTTGTCAGATCCATTGTGAACATCTGTCTTGCTTTGGAACACCCCAAACAGCCATACGCAACGAGAAGAACTCTCAGCACCAAATTTCTTCAAGACCCAAATGTCTGTAAGAATCTCCAGCAGTATGTCCATGAAAAACTCTCTGCCCTGCCCACAAGACAACAATGAAGAAGTCTGGAAGGTGGTTAAAACTGCCGTCCATATGACCTGTGCTGAATCCACTGGCTGTACCACCCATTGACATCAAGACTGGTTCAGTGAGAATGATGCCAAAGTCCAAGCCTTCCTTGACCAGAAGAGAGAGGCTCATTCTGCTTTTCAAGATGACACCTCATCTCAGCAGGAGGAGACATATCAGCTCTTCAGAGCCAAAGCTCAAAGGATGATCTGGGAAATCAAAAATCAGTGGTGGCAAGATAAAGCCAAAGAGATACATGTTGACAAACATGATATGCATAGCTTTTTTTCAGGCAACCAAAGCCATCTACAACACAACTTTCCACTGTCCAACTTTGCTGTGATCATGGGATGGCTTGATGCTTCTCAAAGACAAAAGATAGCGGACTGGAGATCAATAGTGCTAATAGTTACTGTACAGTTTATGTGAAGCATCAACATGGCTCATTCTCTCCACGTCTAATGGAAGAGTCAGCTGTTACAACCTCCATATTTGTTGGTGGAAGTAAATATTTGCAGGTCAGCAGTCATAATACCCTGTTAGGCAATTTTGACTGATAAACTTTGTCTTTCACGGACTCAAATGGATAAGCTTTCAGCAGGATTGTAAAGTGCTTTTTTGTTTTTGTTTTTTTCAGTTGAGTATCCCCTACAGGACTTTACATCATACAGTTGCATAATTTCATTATGAAAGGGAGAGGAGGGTGAACAGGGGAGAATGCAAGTAATCAAGCAGTCATGTAACTGTGTAACCTAAGGGTTCTATGTGGAAACCTGTGCAAAGATACAGTGATTTATATGTGAATAATATCCATGTTTTGAACATAAGTATGTTTAAACAGGTCTCCCAGTTTGATCTAATATCAGCTTTGAAGAGCAAGTGTAGAACATTTCAATTCAACTTTGCTTTAACAAGATAATCAAATATTAAAATTACCGTAATACAAGTCAATGAATACCAACTACCTTTTTGTGAGTGCATAGGAAAATGCAGTGTATAAATATAAGTTGGCAGGGGGAGAGGGGAGGCTGTAGGTTTTAGATAATGATTGCTATTGTAAATTACATGGATCTCTGCTTTGATGGCTGACTTTCTTCCTTGATGACTTTTTCTAGGAAATTCTTAAGAATGAAAAGTGTAGAGGAGAAATGCAACTGAAAATCAAAGATGTTTCTGAAAAGGACAAACTCCTTCAGGCCAAGGAGTACGAGGAGGGGCTTGTTGCTGAACCTGTTAGTACTCAAATAAAAGGTCATGCTTCAGCCCATTACTATGGAAAAAACGAGCCTTCGCAAGACCCAACCAGCACTGCAAATACCTTTCAGCCAGGTTCCTGGATGCCACCAGATGGCAGTAGCCGTAATAAATAAATAGTTGTAGCATGCAGAATTTTGTTAATTAATTAATTAAATTAGAGGTAGGTATTTCAACAAACAACATGACTGAAGAAGACTGATTTTGCTTACAACTATTCTGCTTTGTTTGCTATATTATGTGTAATAAAGCTCTGTATTTAAAATGAACTTTCATTGATTTTTTTTCTGAGGCAGGTCTTCAAGTGCAAACTATTGTAGCTAGTAAAATTTTTAGATTAAAAAAATCAACTACTAAATTTCAGGTTTTCTTAAATATAGATGCTCTTTTTAAAAAAAATGAAAAACAACTTTTCATGCAATAGGCATTTCCTTTGGTGATAGATACTTTTTAAAACATTCTAAATAGAAAGTAATCCTCAACACAGTGAGTTTGAGTTTTTTCTAGAGTAATAGCATAGCCTTTTAAACCATCCTGTCGATTTTTAAGTTACCTCTTCCTACAGAAGCCCCAGTAGGTCTTTTGATAAAGTTTCTTTTTAATGGGTGCAATGTTGGTTGTCTGTCTTTGGGGATTGCAGTCTGTTTTGACCTGCTTAATAATAAACACATAGGGACATCATTCTTTGTTAGTTCTGGGGTGTGCTTTTAATGCATTAATGTTTGGCTAAATCAGTACATTTAAATAATATCCTCCGCTGGCTGTGTAACAACAGCAAAAAACAGGACATGGTATCATGTGCAACAGTGCACATGTAAGTGGTTCAAGGTGTGAAAATTGAGGCTGCCAAGTCCAAAAAAGCTGCAAATTTGTTGCAGAAACCCTACAAGCAATTTAAACCCTCCTCAACAGTGGCAAATGCACCTTCTGCAAAATAAGGGCAGCTTTCTTGTCCTTTGAACTGTGATCATCATTATCTGCATTCTGGACAGATAAAAGTGCCTTGCTAATATGAGTCTAAAAGAAATAGAGGAAGGAGATATTGGGGGAGTGCACCTATGCCACCCACATAGAGCCCCAGAACCCACAGTGCAATTGCTCAAGAACATTTTGTTCTTGGAATGGCAGCATATGAACAACAGAAGCTCTGATCACAACTTCTCCACAGCTGGTGGAAAACAGCACCTTATGAGAGCCAAGCTGTTTCCATCCTTAAACTTGACATTAAGCATGATCTAGTCTTTAACTGCTGAAAGGTGTTGAAGCAATGCCTGGGTCCATGATTGAAAGGTTTCATAGATTCATAGATTGTTAGGGGCTGGAAGGGATCTTGCAGATCATTGGGTCCAGCCCCCCTGCTCTAGGTGGGAAGACAACGGGTCAAGAGACCCCAACAAGGTGACTGTCCAGTCTCCTCTTGAAAACCTCCAAGAGGAGGGAGGTGACTGAATCACCTCTGGAGGGAATTTATTCCACAGTCTGGTCACCCTGACTGTGAAGGAGTTTCTCCTGCTATTAAGCCTGAAGCAGCCTTCCAGGAGTTTATATCCATCGGTCTTGGTCTTCCCTAGGGGTGCCCTAGTGAACAGTTGCTCACCGAGCTCCTGATGCACTCCTCTGATATAGTGGTAAGGTTCCTTTATGACAAGGGTGGCCAACCTGTAGCTTTTGTGTGTGACCAGTGTCAGATTGGGGAGGGGACAAGAAAGAAGAGTAGTAGATTAGGCAGAGGAAGGGGATCAGTGTCACTTGGGGAGAGGAAGGAGCTTAAATTGTGGCATGCCTGCCAAAAAGGTTAGCCCCAGCTGTTTTATGAGATGCAGGTGCCCCATGCAAGGCTTCATCAACTGTAGCTGCTGGTGGTAGGGCAGGATTGGCGAGTACTGGAGAGAGATTAACTTCTCTGCGCCTTGAGCAGTTCTGGCAAGCATTCCTTTACTCATTAGGAAAACCAGGATAGAGTTAAAGATTCTGGCATCATCCACTTTTCTGGACCATTCTGTGTTAACATGCCTGACAGAGGAAGGGGAAATACTCTTCATATTTAAAAACTCCAAGAAAATAAAGGAAATAACATGTTCTTTTTATTATTCCATTCCAGTTGGGGAACCCTATGCATTCAGAGATGTTAATAGCTATTTGAGGGTTAATAAGCCTTATAGCATATGGGAACGGTACTTTTATGGCAGCAGTAGCTGGAGCAATATAACCAATGGACTGGTACCAGTCCTGGGTAGCCAGCATCCTCAGTTGCTTCTCCACAGTCAAAGGGACTCTGAGCTTGGAGTTCTGTGGCTCTAGGGCTAGCTCCATACAGATTTCTATGAAAGTGGGCTTCCTGATCCTGAAGTTGTCCTGCTACTGTTGGTGTAGGAGTTATATGTTAAAGAAATGTAATATGTACTAGGTGATGGTATGTTATATTCCTATGCACAAGAACAGAGCAAACCTCCAGGAATCTATGATTAAAAAAGAAAGAGAAAAGATCAAAGTGCTAATGTTGTCAGAGCGGAAGGTGGTAAGCCTTAGACAAAGGAAAGAAGTTACGATAGATAGTTTAATTCAAGAGGAAAGGTTGTTTAATTCAAAGTAAACAAAGGTTGGCTTGTCAGCTGCTTGGCTCCAGTATGGTTAAGAAAATACAACATGAATGGCTTGATGGTAAATAAGGAACATTTGGGGAACAACAATACAGGTATGTATGAAAGCTTTGGTCTACGTATGATAAGATGATGTGACGAGAAGTCTAGGGGAATACAACTGACCACAGGAGGTGAGTTCTTTTCTACTGTAAGCTGAATTTGCTAGAGCCAGCCAGCATGGGGCAGCTACGATGTCTTCCTCACTAGTCCAGATGCAAGTAGTCTGGTCAAATGCTCTGAAATGTAATTATGGGGTGGGTATGGCTACTTATAAATGCTGTAACATCACCATCTACCATATAGCTGCTATTTTAATAGTATTTTTAGACTGGTTAAAGTAACTTCTATAACTATTACTGACACTTGGAATTAAATACAGGATCTTAGCTGAACTGCTGACATGATGAATCAGATTCCAATAGTTGGTCATCCCGTGTCTACAGCATAGTCCACTCCCACTAATCCTATTTCCTGCACTCTAAACTGTCAGCCAGCAAACTAAAAATGGTTCCATAACAGCAGCTCCCATCACCAGAACATGCTTATTTTCAAGTGACTTGCCAGCTGACTGCACAAATCCCTTAAATGTTGCATAACAAAACTGGTGCTGGTCCTACCAATATTATTTGCAACAGAGTGCCTGCTTGGCAACAGGGAGCCAGATGTATCCCAACAGTTGCCAACTCACATGAATAGAAAACATGCAAAAAGCAAGGCTGGAAGGGACCCTCAGGAGGTCATCTGGTCAAACCTGCTCCTTAGGGCAAGAACATTTTTCTGTAAAGCATCTTAGTCAACTGTTTAGCTAACCTGCACTTAAACTTCCAGTGACGAAAGATTCTACTTCTCTAGGTAGTCTATTACAGCATTTAACCATCTCCATAACTGAAAAATTCTTCCCAAAATCCCAACCCGAGTTTCTCTTGTCGCAATTCTGGCCTGTTACTTCTTGTCTTGCACTCCTTCATCTACTTAATAGGGGATAGATTGCCATCCTATTAATATAACCCTTTTTACTTTAAGAAAATGATAAAATACACTCATCCTGTAACCTTTACTGTTTGAAAATAGTGTCATCTCCCTTCCAAGCACAAGTTGTCTGGTCCATCTTGAGGGTTATTGATGGCTTGAACCTGGAATTTGAACCTAGAGCAGTGGTTCTCAACCTTTTTAGAACCAAGGCACTCCTCCAGAACTTTGTGAATTGAGCGGCACCCTACTTCAAAAACAGATATAGTTATTACAGTGCTTACCTTCTTGCAAAGGGGCCATGGAGCGGCCAAACAGGGGGACCTTCCCCATACCCTTACCTGCTTGCCTCCTCACACCTGGAGCTTAAGCCTACCCTTTGCTACTTGTCACACCCTTCAGTGGCTTGCCTCATATCCTGGTCCAGAATTACTGACCTAAAGACTTCTACACAACTTTCTGCAAAGGTTCCACAACATGTGCTGCGGCAGGTATCCAGTACTAAATTGGTGGGGAGATAGGGTGATAAAGGATCGGAGAGCTATTCCTTTGCTTTTGGTGGACCACGTGGCAGTTCCCACCCCATATGCACTCATGACAATTGAGCACAACCTGTTTATTTTGCACAGCTGTCATGATGCAAATTTGTTCCTAATTTATATCTCAAGCTGAACCTGTCACAGCTTGCCTGCTTGTATACCCATAGCCCAAATTGAACTCTGTTCCCGTAACAAGTCAAAGTTTTGAAGCAACCTATTTTCCAGCAATTATATTACGCTCCATAACCCTTTGGCAAGCGCACCTTGAAGTTTTTCATCTCTTCATTTCCAACACCATCCACCCTTTGAAAGAATCAACCTGTTCACCATCATAGAAATACAGATGTACATTTGCTAAAATTATCAATGTTGGTGCCTATATTTAAGTTGTTGGTTATTCTCGGAATCCACACCCTACTGGAACAAACAGACCCTTTGCTTGTTTTGTCAGGCTACCATATTGGTTTGCTTATTCAGATTACTTTCACATTCTATAGCCACACAAGACTTCATCTACTGACAGTTTCAGATTCTTCTACTGCCTTTTAATAGCCATGACATTGAAAAAAGGGCAATAAATCATAGTGTCCACTTCTCTCCCTTACCAAATTTAGAAATAGCATTGACTGGAGTCCAACATGGAAGTCAGTGACCAACATGGAAGCTTTTTATTTTCGGTGGGGGAAGTTAAAATGTTTATTGCTGCCTTCAAAAACAGAATTAGTAATAAGGGGAAAAAAGCATGCTGCAACATCAGAACAAGTTTTATCTAATGCCTACCCTCATGCTGGCAAGGAAAAACATTCAGAAAATCATTCAATTGCTAAGAAATCATCTTGCCTGACCTTTGACACTCGTCAGCCGCCTTTCCTCTACCCCTTCCTTCACTGTACTAAATTCAATTGTTAAGGCTACGCTGGGTTTCCTCACTTCCCCTTTTGTAAAGCTTTATTTGTGTTTCTCCTTTTTTTGAAAAAAATAGGTCCGGCCCTCAGGGTGGCTTTTGGAGCTGGTTTTAGATTCATTACCCTAGTTCCTTTTAAGATAATCCTTAAACCTCTGCAATCTCTACTGTGATTTGTTTAAAAAAATTAAAGCAAAAAGCCCTTCTTTTCCTTCTGCCTACACACAGAGGAAACATATCTGTAGGCTCCTTGTGCAATGACAAGGGAGTGGAATTTTGGCACCCAAATGCCTTTGGTCGCGTATCTTCCCTCAGAGGGGTATCTCCAATATATTCGGTGGGCTGGTATAAAAAAGGGAAGTGGTATCAGCACAACCCTTGGGAATTCAAGTGACTGAGTAAAATACTTGAAAGTAATGAGTAAAATGATTTTAGATTGAAAGTAGAGATGGAAGACCTACTCACTTATCCCCACATCATGCATTTGGTTTAGGAATCAGCTAATTCAGACTATACTGGAGGAGCCCTGTTATTAGTATAAGAACATTTAGCTAAGGCATGTAAGTATTGATAAGTAGATTATGTCTTGCTACAGATGTTTAAGTACCTTTGGTATTAAGAATGAAGACCATTACCCTCTATCTTAAGAAAAAAAAGTAACAAATTTATTTTTGCAATGTAGTTTCATTTTAAAATGAATCTTCCACATTATGCATGTAGGTATCAAAGTGTAACCCCTTTCGAAGAGACTCTGGAGAAAATTTAATCCAGTGTCATGAGAAAAGCATGCATTACATTAACATTTGTCCTGAACAACAAAATTGGGGAAGAGCACCAACTAAGACTGGTTGCATTTGGATGTTTCACACCCAACCCAAATAATTAACTCAAGCCTTCTCTTCTGATTCCTGGTATTAATTGCTCACTCACTTCATCTGTTCAGCAATATAGATATAGCACCCGCTTTCACTGCTCTTACCCTTTATATCAGCAAAGGGACTGATACAAGAACACTAGTAGGAACACCAACTATCTTCATTCTTATTATGACATCTATTCTGATCCTGTTTCAAGTTTTTAGTCTCTATTATAGGTTTCTTGAAACCCAACAAAATAAGAAGTGAGCTTTATTGAAGCATGATATTATGCTATAAAGGCATTTGCAATGATACAGTTATTCTTTGGGAAGAAAAATATAACTGAAGTTGAAACTAAAGGCCAATAACTGTGGCATGTTTACAGCACTAAGACTGCATCTGGCAGTCTCTTTTCATTCAGCCATTCCTTTCAAAGTTGCTCATATCCAAATAGTTAGTTATTCTGTTCCTCCAGAGATACTATTAGTGTCACCTGAAACAAGAATGATACTTGTTTAGTATATAACATAACTAAGTTGTTCATTTTGCAGAGATTTTGCAAAATCTACTCAACTTAGAATACTGTTAAGATGAATTGGGCAGTTGGCTTACAGCTTAGTTCTGAACAGTTTCTATCTGAAAGGGCTCAGTGATAAAGGATGTGGATAGAGTGCCATTTGTGTTAACTAAGGGCATGTCTACACAGGGAAGCTGCTGCCATAAAAAACCTGGAGTAAATTTACAGCTGTTGCACACTAACACCTATGTGCATACTTAGCAGACGGTTAAGTGTGAGGTAACTTTTAAAGTAAGCTATGTTACACATGCTGCATGCTAAATGTCCACTGGGAGTCAGTGTGGAGTAGCTAATATGCTGAAAATTCACCCCCTACTTTATTTCACAGTAACTTCCCCTTGTGGACAAGACTTTAGTTGAGTTAATGTGAATTAGAAATAATGTTCCCATCCAGCAAGCACAAAACAGATAACTGTTAAAGGACCAACTGCTACTCCCAAAAGAGACTGAAAACAAAAGAAAAGTTCTACTACAGAAATAAACCAATAGTAGAAAAAGTATTATACAACAGCTGCAGTATTTAAACATAAGTAGTAGTCAGATGTTTTGCTTCCTCCCATAATTTAAATTTTGCTGCATTTAAACAATTGCTGACATTTGTATTAGAAAAAGAAGTCCCCCACAAATATGAAGTTTACAAAAGCACATGGCATGTGAGTTTACAAAAGCTAGCTTGATCAGAATATGAATATCTAAATGAAGTATGTATTTAGCAAAAATTATTGCAGTTTAGACGCAAACTTTAGCACAAATTGATAAGCGGAAAATGAGTTATTTCAAGACTTAAACCTTCATTCCGGAAGATTTACACCAGGTCAAGTTTCAGAGGAAGGTAACACAAGATACAGCTGTACAACAGTACTGAACCAGGAGAAGCAGATGCCTTGCACAAGGAAGGCTCCCCCCCTGCTGCTTAGTCCTTCTTTGTTCGTTTGGTTTTTGTAATATTTTCCTGGCGTTTCTGTTTCTTCTTCTGCTCTCGCTCCCTGGCCTCAATCATTCTGGCCAGCTTCCACGACAGCGCTGCACTGATGACGAAGAGCGGCGTCAGGGCCAGGATCACTGTGGTCAGAAAGCCATATGGGTCCTTGGCAGCCCATTCCACGATATATTCAGCCCAGGCTCTGATATCAAACATCTTGTCTCCCATCCTATTGGGGAAAGACTTAAAAAACCAAAAAGCTTCTTTTCATTAAATAGCAAAATGTGATAGCTGCATCAGACCCAATCCCGTCCCACAGCACCCTGGGACGAGGTCAGGTCAGCCCAGTGCAAGGCAGCCCTGTCACCCGGCTCTGTGCAGGAGGTTTCCCTGTAGCCAGCGCTGCCCCCCCCCCCATCTCTCCCACAGGTCCCGCAGAGCCCCGTGTGAGGGGCTTGCTCCGCCCTGGGAGCGGAGGGGCCAAGGTGTTGAAGCAGGTCCCGTCCCGCGGAGCAGCTCGCGCCGCCGTGCCCAGACGCGCTGTGCGGACGCTGCCACGGGCAGCGAGCGCGGCCGCC